CTCAGTGTCCGGGCAGAACGATGGGGGTGGAGATGCTCCTTCAGGTACACTGGACTGAGGCCGTTTAGGGCTTTAAAGGTCAGCACCAACACTTTGAATTGTGCTCGGAAACGTACTGGGAGCCAATGTAGATCTTTCAAGACCAGTGTTATGTGGTCTCAGCGGTAGTTAATATACTAATACATCAAAGGCACTGAGCAGACACTTGGACTTAGTCTTCTATACCATCCTTTCTTAGGTTGCATCAGTGCTATTGAAACGACTTTCCCTGCGTGAGAGGTGATTCAGCAATGTTGTCCCTCAAATGATGCGTATAATCAATTGAACTCTTGGCCCTGTGAGGCTAATGTCTTTCATGACCGAGGGATGCTTTGATTTCGGATTCTCTGAAATGGCTCTTCAATAGCATGAAATGACAGGCGTTCTTTTTCTCTCCCCTCAGGGTGCCTCTCCTCTCCTTTCTCCTGGTGACATCAGTCTCTTAGTTAAGGTAAGGTGTTTTTTGTTTTTTTTCCTGGGATGCTCCAGGATCTCGTGTTCGAAGAAAATTTCATCAAACCATTCAAAAAAATTGCAGTGTGTGTGGTTCTTAAAAGTGGATACAAAAACATCTTCATTTTGGATTTTCATTTCCCCCCTAGTCATCATTGCCGTCGTCACCATCATTAAATTGATTGGTCAACTTGGAGCAATTTTTTTAAAAATATACGTGATTAAGAAAGCAGTGGTTTTATTTATGTGGCAAAACATCTCAGCTTCTGTCTTCATCAGTTGCTCTGATTTGCATGCTTGTGCACATCAGAGCACAACTCCAGCATGAAATTCTGGAAAGCTGATGCCAGTCAATGTACTGAGCAACATGGACCAATGTTCTTTCTCTGTATAATAAGGCAGTTTCCAGTGCTGTTAGATACCAGCTAGAAAGAGGCCGTCTGCCACAACAGTGAAGTGTTAATTCTCCTTTTTCCTCCCCCTTATTTAAGGATGTTTGCAGTGACTGCCCTCCCGGACCACCTGGACTTCCAGGAATGCCAGGATTCAAGGGTGACAGAGGCCTTCCAGGTCCACTTGGCCATGAAGGCCCAGTTGGGAAAACGGTATGAAAGAGAAGATGGGTAGCTGAACGCTAGACACTGTTACCTGTCAATGCACTGAAAAGATTAGACCAGGAGTAGCTAAGCTGTGGTTCCCCAGTTGCTGTTGGACTCCTATCCACCCCGGCCAGACTGGCCAATGGTCATGGTGATAGGGGTTGCGGTCCAGTTACATCTGGAGGGCCAAAGGTTAGTCAGCCCAGGATAAACTCCCCTGATCCCAATTGGGGAGTAGGGGTGATGGCTATCTTAACCCCCCCCAAAAAAGGTAATGAGTGAATTGCAACCATGCAATTCATGCTAACTTTCACACCAAACTTCCAACATAGACATGGTATAGGGAAGAAGCAGCTGCTGAAACTGTGCCACTGATTGATTTTTTAAAAAATGGAAGGAAAACTTGGCACTGGATCATATATATATATGATTCGCCCATCCACTGAATATGTGGGGTCTTCTACTAGGGGAGAATGGTTATGTAAGCTTTCAGAATACAGTGGTACCTCGGATTACATACGCATCAGGTTACATACACTTCAAGTTACAGACTCCGCTAACCCAGAAATAGTACCTCGGGTTAAGAACTTTGCTTCAGGTTTAGAACAGAAATCGTGCTCCGGCGGCGCAGTGGCAGCAGGAGGCCCGATTAGCTAAAGTGGTGCTTCAGGTTAAGAACAGTTTCAGGTTAAGAACAGACCTCCAAAACAGATTAAGTACGTAACCAGAGGTACCGCTGTATATAGAATTAGCCAAATTGACAGATATAATAAGACAAAAACCCAAAAGTGAAGTGAAAAAGGAATGGGAGTGTCTATATGAATACCTTAAAAGTCAAGGTTCGAGGACAGAAATCTGGCAGAGTCTGGAATAACCTTGTGAAGTGAAAGGATACGAAAGAGGGTTTTATATCTAGATGCTAAGATAGAGGTGATAAGGGAAACAGGGAAACAGGAAGACACAATGAGAGGTAAAGGAGGTGTTGTGGGATTGGTGGAAGTCAATGTTTGTTTTTCTTTTTAGTGTTTATATTATTAACTTGTAATATATGGATTTGGTTTTTTTGTATATTGGGTTTTGTGTATTGTTATTTTTTGATATTTTTGTGTTGTTCGGTGGAAAATACTAATAAAATTTAAAAAGGAAAAAAGAAGAAAAAGAATATGTGGGGTCTTCTGCTACCTTCCAAAGAGAGGAAGTCCATCTGATCTTTCTTTGTTTTCAGGGGGAGGCGGGACCCAGAGGTCACCCCGGACCACCAGGTGTCGAAGGTCCAAAGGTCAGTTCTGTCTTCTCTTTTGTGATGTCAGGGTTTTTGCTGGAAAGATACAGGATAGCAGGATGAAATCTCTGCCATTCTTGGGGAAGAGGGTTTCTTTGGGGTAGGGGGTACAATTAAAAATAGAGAGAGAGATAGAGAAAACAAACCAGCCTGCCAGAATTGCTGAAGTTCTAACCTCAGTAATGTCCTCCCATTTATTAAAACATCTGACTGACTTTTGAAATGGCTTTCAGTCCATTTCTGAGAATATGGACCACATGTCATAAAAAGGCAAGTCCTGAAATTTTGAGCCCATTGACCTTTGCTTGGAGAAACTCAAGGAAATGCCAACGAGGCAAAGAAAAATGAGATTGTGGCTGATTTTTCCCTCCGGACATTTCTATAACTCCTTGGCTGGGACTGAGTGAAAATGTTTTGATCTTATGCCCACTGTTGACTTGCTCGTCCTAAGAGTGTGTGTGTGTGGGGGGGGTTATTTAGTTGTCAATATTTATTAATTTATTAAAATCATATTCTGCCCTTCATCTCAAGGGCAACAAACATATATGTGATAAAACAATACAATTAAAAAATAGCATTAAACCAGATTTAAACCAGTGACAAGCATCTAAAAAGACTCTAGAAGCTATTACACATCTAGAAACATGTAAATATGTTTTACATGACTTACTTCGCTTACCTCAAAATGGGGTAAGCTGTCCCCAATGCATTTGGGGCTATTTCTGCTCACACCCGCATCCCCACCTACTGTTGTTGCTACCTGTCTATCTCAAGAGACAATGGAGTCTGCCTCTGGGGGTGAGATCAAACCACTGGAGAATCGCAGTGCCTACTGTGGTTGCAGAGACTGGTAACTTGTAACTGCTGCCTCCCGTGTTGCTTTTGCTGTATTAGCACCAAAGTGACCTCTCTGGGGTGCAAGCCTGGGCAGTGTGTATGGATGCCCTTGGCTGCCCAGGTGAGAAGACCCCTGCCTCTTGTCCTCACTAATGTGTGGTCCAAAGGAAAGCAGAGCAATATATTTGATACCAGCTTGACTACAGTTGCTGCTGGAAGGAGACATACAAGGAGCCTTAGGGACTCCACTCCAGATTTGTGTGGGATTTAAAGGTAAAGGTACCCCTGGCCATTAAGTCCAGTCGCGGACGACTCTGTGGGTTGCGGCGCTCATCTCGCTCTATAGGCCAAGGGAGCCAGTGTTTGTCTGCAGACAATCCGGGTCATGTGGCCAGCATGACTAAGCCGCTTCTGGCGAAACCAGAACAGCGCACGGAAATGCCGTTTACCATCCCACCAGAGCGGTACCTATTTATCTACTTACACTTTGATGTGCTTTTGAACTGCTAGGTGGGCAGGAGCTGGGACCAAGCAATGGGAGCTCACCCTGTCACGGGGATTCAAACCGCTGACCTTCCGATCGGCAAGCCCTAGGCTCAGTGGTTTAGACCACAGTGCCACCCATTTACTCCTTAGTTTTTTCTTCTCCCGAAGATGTCCTGCAACACATTAGAGATGGGTTTTTCCTCAGGGTTTGCTCCCAAGGCCTTTCTCATGAATGAGTATGCCCACAAAGCAACAGAGGTTTAGGATCAGAGCTTTCCTTCTCCTAGATGGGCTACCTTCCCATATTGATGAGCCCCATGTGCCACTCATTTCCCTCTGCAGTAACCACCTTCTTGACTGTTTGACTCACTATTGGTCTTGTCTGCTCAATCTACTGGAGACTTGTATTTGCATACGGGGCAAAGTCTCTAACTCACTGTGACTCTGAGACCCATCAGCTACCCTCTGCTGGACTAGTACCCCAAAGAATTGCTAGGTGGCTCAATCAAGCCACCGTTTAAATTTCCCACAATGCCTTGGAGCAATGCTGCATTCTTGATTGTGAAAAATCAAAATGGTTGCTAGACCTAGCTGCCTGCAGTCTTCACCAGATAGTCCCACTAGGGTTCATCAATGAACAAGGCGGCCACCATGGGGCCAATTGCTCAGGATTACGTCAGACCTGGTCCTGGCCCTGATCAAGATTTCAGGTATTTCACCCAGCAAACAGCGAGAGGAGGTTAAGCTCCTGCTATTTGAGAAAACTTTTCACTGACAACTTAAACACTGAAATGTGTATGCCTCCATGTTACTTTGGGGGGAACCAGTGCACCACACTTAAACTGTAATTGAGGTTTGTGATTTGAATGCTTCTGTCTTTTGTTAGGGTGCCAAAGGAGACCGTGGGACGCCTGGAGAGGCTGGACTGAAGGGTGAACAGGTAAAATCAAAAGAGGCAGAAAGATGTTTCTTGGAACAGTACAGTAAGCAACATGTCTCAATCACCAAACAGGACCTTTGACCTGCTCTTTAGCCACCACATCAGAACACTGCTGATCAATATATCACACATGGATCAGTCTGACTTGAAGGAAGACTGTCAGTGGTCACCCTAAACTGCAAAGTGCATAAGGCACGAGTTGCCCAAGAGAGAACAGGCCCATATATAGAATCATGGAACCTAGTCAGATGGGCAGGGTATAAATAACAAAATTATTACTATTAGTGTGGAATCATGGAATTGCATAGTTGGAAGGAACCCCAAGGGCCTACTGTTCCCAACCTGCTGTAATGCAGGAATCTTTTGCCTAACATGGAGCTTGAACCCACAACCCTGAGATTAAGAACCTCATATTCTGCCAACTGAACTACAGTCATACCTTGGGTTACAGATGCTTTGGGTTGCGCAGTTTCAGGTTGTGCACTGTGCCGAACCCGGAAGTACTGGAATGGGTTGCTTCTGGGTTTCGGTGCTTGCGCATGCACAGAAGCACTAAATCGTGCTTTGTGCATGTGCAGAAGTGCCGAATCGCGACCCGCATGTGTGCAGACGCGCGGGTCACAGGTTGCGAATGCTGCGGGTTGCGAACGTGCCTCCTGCATGGATCACATTCACAATCCGAGCGTCCACTGTACAGTGAAATATCAAATTTGTACAATTAGTAAAACTTACAGGAGGGAAATTTAGAATTAAAGAGGAAAGAGTTTTCCTTTCAAGGCACTGTGTTACCCAGCAGGCTCTGTGGATGATTATTCCTTAACACATCCTTAACTAATGGGGTCCATTGGATGCTTCCTGTTTGTGTTTGCTCAAGGGAAGGGTTAAATACCCCTTCTGCCTTCCTGCTCAAACTTCCCCTCCACCAGCTGTCTTATTTTTTAAAAATCACCAACCACACTGATATTCACTCCTGTGTTACATGTGCTTGACCCAAACATGTGCTTAACCACTGAACCACACATTCAACATGCAAGGGGAATGTTCGTTTATTCAAAAGGGGGGGCATTGCATCCATTTGTTTGCAGTGATCTGAGGAAATGGCATGCTGAATTATGTTAAACTGATTCTGTTCCCGAAGCAAAGACCTGGCACAGCTGTGGATGGGGGCGGTTGGGGTGCGCAGTTTCTTGCTGCACGCACGACAAGTTGTTAGCCTCTTGCACCCAGCCAACCCTGTAATGTTTCCTGACAACTTCTCCGTTCCCAGAAGCTTATGTGTATTAAAAGCAGTTTGTTAAAACATGCAAGTTCACGCTCTGGAAACCTATGCATGGAATTGGGATGCCAAGTTAGCTTATGTTTTGGGCGTCTCGCTCTCCTGGTCGCTTGGTTGCTAGCAAGCTTTTGATGAGATTCCAGAGGTTCTTTAGGGACGTGGTTTGCAAATGAAGATGCTAAGTGAATGTGAAATGCTGTTGTTGTCTTCTGCAGGGACATCCTGGGATACCTGGCTTCATGGGCCCTCCTGGAAATCCAGGTCCACCTGTAAGATGCTATCTATCTATCATCTATCTATATCTATCTATCATCTATCTATCTATCTATCTATCTATCTATCTATCTATCATCTATCTATCTATATCTATCTATCTATCTCCATCCCTTTTTCTTTTGCACTGCACCCATCCATCTGGTTATAGACCCAGAAGAAGCCCACAGCAATTCACTGGCCCTCTCTTGTATGTGTGGGAATGTTAAGGATAATAGATGATATATTAATTAAATATTATCCTTCCTTCACTCACGCTAGTGAGTCATGTAGCAGAGCAGAATCCCCTCAATACAGCAGGAAGCTAGTTTGCAGATTCGTTTGAATCTCTTTAGTTAAGCAATCCAATCCGGCTTGCCCAGATGGATTATTCTTGGTGTCCCCTTTTATCCCTCTTAAAAGAAAAAAAGACACAAGAGTCTTTCCTTCAAACTTACAAGAAGTTTACTCACATTCAGTTCACAGTGTGATCCCTGAAGGCAGGCTCTAGCTAGTAGTTACATAACAAAGTGTGAGTTTATCCCATATGGGGATTGAGCTCATGTGCTGCTGGCTGAGAGCCAGCAGACAGCAAAATGCATTAAGAAAACAGTATCAAGAGAACGAAATGGTCGCAGGAGAGCAGCATGGCATCAAGAGGGAGATGGCTGTGTGACTCGGCTCTTGTATAGAGTCAGCGAGGGTCACATCCATCTGCCTGGTCACATGCAGGGGGAGGATGCTTCAGACCAGTGGGCCAGGAAGTTATACTGGCTGGAGTAACATCCCCCTGCCTGTGTCCACGCTAGGGAAACAAGAAATGTTGTATTTGACTGCTTCAATGGATTACATCCCACAGTATGTTGGATTTTTGGGGGCATTATGCTGATCTTGAATGCATAGCAAAGTTTATGGCCCACCATTTTGGGCTGGTTGTCTTCATTTAAAGAAAGTCCAAAGGCTTGTAAGAGTTGCCTCCATGTTGTTTGAGGAGACTATTTCTGATTCAGAAGCAAGCTGCCATTTTTAATGGCCAGAAATGTTATTTTTTTCATTTTATTTAGGGGTCTGAGGGCCCCCCAGGACCTGCAGGACCACTGGGAAACCCTGGAGAAATAGTAAGTCACTATTCAATCTGTCATATCCCTGCCTCCCCCCAAAGGAAGCCAACATTTGCCTAAGTGGTCCCATAGTGGATTCTTGGAAAAATAAGTAGATGTGGAAAGCATTCTGTGAATCTGTAAGGTTTGAAAGCCACTGAGATACTCAGATGAAGACTAGTGGATTATAAACTCTCAGCCAAATTCTCCATTAATTTAGAAAGATGAATAAATTCAACATGTGTCATTAGTGGGGTGGAACAGGCGGAGTACAGTTGCAATGCCAGAAAAAAAATGGTGGTGGGACACAAAGAGGGGGCAAAGTATATTTCCAGGGGGCCGAGTGGTGTCCCACATGTTAAGATCTCTAAAAGAAAAATAACAATGTATGCTAATGACAGGAGTCCCGCAAGTGGGAGGTGAGTGCCATATTGGGATGTGTATATGTGCTTGACCCACTTCCTGCTCTGGCATCCCCTATGGGCACTTACCTGACCTCCTGGCAGCAGAGTCTTTGCTGCTTATCCGGAGGGAGAGTGGGAGAGGAAAAGTGGCAGAGAGGTCAAGAGCCAAATTGGCACTCTTCCAGGTTTATCCGTGCAGTGCTGACCTCCCCTCCTCCTTGCCCCTTCCAGTCTCCCTCCCACTAAGCTGCAGTGATTTCATTGCCAGGAGGTCAGGCAAGTTCTGCTCCCTTCTACACCCACTCTCTTCCCCCCACCCCAAAGGCCTAAGCAATATTGAGCATAAATTCAGAAGGCCTTGCTAACAGATTGTTCTTCTGGGGATGTCTCTGCCTGGAAAGCTTATGTGAACATCTCCAAATCTGTGTCTCTTTGGCAGGGTAAAGAAGGCCCGTCAGGACCTCAAGGGCCACCAGGATTGCCTGGACTTCTGGTGAGTTATCCCTGCATTTGTAAACATTGACACATCTCATATGCCGGGGACTGTAGTGTTCTTGAATCCCTGGCATATTTCAACAGTAAAAAGATTGTGTGGCATACTTGCATATGTTCCTGGCGATTGTGACATCACGAATGTCAGGCCCCACCCTATGGAGCGCCCTCCCAGCAGATGTCAAACAGATAAACAGCTGTGGGACATCTGAAGGGAAGTTTTTAATGTGCAATGTTGTATTTTTTTAAAAAAAATATTTTTGCTAGGAGCCACCCAGAGTGGCTGGAGCAACCCAGTCAGATGGGCAGCATATAAATAATACATCATCATCATCATCATCATCATGAACGTCTTTTGAGTCATTGCCCACCCACCCCCCATAAGCGGCAATACTGAGATGTTGTGTGTGCATTCTATGCTTGACTTCTCGAGAGATCTCCTGATCTGAATTGGCATGCATAAAAAAATAATCAATGAAATTTCTCCTAGCTTGAACTTTGTGGTGCAATTTGTAACAAGAGAGAAAGGGAATATAGGGGAGAAAACATCAGAGGAGGGGAGGCAGGGAATAAGCCACAAGATAGAGAAAACTCAATTTTGGAAACAAGGTACAGCTGGCAGTTAGTGGTAGCACATGCTTTGCAGGAAGAATTGTTGTTGTTTAGTCGTCTCCGACTCTTCGTGACCCCAAGGACCAGAACATGCCAGGCACTCCTGTCTTCCACTGCCTCCCACAGTTTGGTCAAACTCGTGCTAGTAGCTTCGAGAACACTGTCCAACCATCTCGTCCTCTGCCGTCCCCTTCTCCTTGTGCCCTCCATCTTTCCCAACATCAGGGTCTTTTCCAGGGAGTCTTCTCTTCTCATGAGGTGGCCAAAGTCTTGGAGCCTCAGCTTCATGATCTGTCCTTCCAGTGAGCACTCAGGGCTGATTTCCTTCAGAATGGATAGGTTTGATCTTCTTGCAGTCCAGGGACTCTCAAGAGTCTCCTCCAGCACCATAATTCAAAAGCATCAATTCTTCGACGATCAGCCTTCTTTATGGTCCAGCTCTCACTTCCATACATCACCACTGGGAAAATCATAGCTTTAACTATACGGACCTTTGTTGGCAAGGTGATGTCTCTGCTTTTTAAGATGCTGTCTAGGTTTGTCATTGCTTTTCTCCCAAGAAGCAGGCATCTTTTAATTTTGTCACTGCTGTCACCATCTGCAGTGATGATGGAGCCCAAGAAAGTAAGATCTCTCACTGCCTTCATTTCTTCCCCTTCTGTTTGCCAGGAGGTGATGGGACCAGTGGCCATAATCTTAGTTTTTTTGATGTTGAGCTTCAGGCCATATTTTGCACTCTCCTCTTTCACCCTCACTAAAAGGTTCTTTAATTCCTCCTCACTTTCTGCCATCAAGGTTGTGTCACTTGCATATCTGAGGTTGTTGATATTTCTTCCAGCAGTCTTAATTCTGGCTTGGGATTCATCCAGTCCAGCCTTTCGCATGATGAATTCTGCATATAAGTTAAATAAGCAGGGAGACACTATACAGCCTTGCCATACTCCTTTCCCAATTTTGAACCAATGAGTTGCTCCATATCCAGTTCTAACTGTAGCTTCTTGTCCCACATAGAGATTTCTCAGGAGACAGATGCATAACTGTCAACTTTTCCCTTTTTTTAAGGGAAATTCCCTTATTCCGAATAGGATTCCTCACAAGAAAAGGGAAAAGTTGACAGCTATGGACAGATGAGGTGATCAGGCACTCCCATTTCTTTACAAACTCGCCATAGTTTGCTGTGGTCAACACAGTCAAATGCTTTTGCGTAGTCAATGAAGCAGATGTTTTTCTGGAACTCTCTAGCCAGGGCTAATCCCCAGTAGAGGTGATTGCCATTGTGGCACCTCCAGGTGCATACAGAATT